TGTGTGTTCGGAATTAAACCCAAGGCCTCGCACATGGTAGGCAATCACTTTGTCACTTGAGCTATGCCCTCAGCCTTTCTTTTTTGAGAGACATGGTCTTGCTAAGTTTCCTAGGCTGGCCTTGAACTTTAATCCTACCTCAGCCTCCTGAGTAGCTGGGGTTACAAGTGTGTACTACCATGTCTGGCTGCCGGTTAATGAAGATTTTGGTAGTTAAGTTCTTTATATATTCTGGATATTAATCCCTTACCAGATGTATGATTTGCAAATGTTTTCTATCAGTTTTCTTTTTGCTGTATAGTGTTCTTTGCATACACATTTCAATTTTGATGAAGTTCAGTTCATCCTATTTGTTGTTGTTGTTGATATATACAGGAAATCAATGCCAAATCCAATGTCAAGAAGCTTTTCCCTTGTTTTCTTCTAAGAGTTTTATAGTTTTAGCTCGCTTGCTCTTTCTTACTTTTTCTTGGTTTATTTTTAAAAAATTAATTTTATTGGTACATTTTAGATGTACAATATAATGACATTCATCATTGGGGATTTGTATCTTTGCATAATATATCTAGATTCTTATTTTTTTCCCATCCCCCTGCCCTCCCTTCAACCCCTTCACACCTAAAAAATGATTCCATTTTTTCATTTTCTCATGTTTTGAGACAGTGTTTGTCATGTAGTTCAGGCTGGCCTTAAACTTTGGTGTGTAGCCAGGTTGGCCTTGAATTTGCAGTGATCTTCCCGACTCAGCCTCTCGATTGTGGGATTATAGAGATGACTCACCGTGCCCAGCCATAGTTCTTATATTTTAGTTCTTATATTTATCTTTTAGTTCTTATATTTAGGTCTTCTATTTATAATGTTTTCATAGCTGGTTTAAGGTAAGGGCCAACTTTAGTCTCCTGCAAAATGTACATATATGCTGTTTTCCCATCACTCTTGGTTGAAAAGAATCTTTTCTTCATTTAATGGTCTTGCTGCTTTTGTCACAAATCACGTGACTACATATACAAAGGGTTATGTCTGTCTTCATGTCGGGACCATACTGGTTTGATTGTGCAGTTTTGTGGTAAGTACTGAAGTCAGGAAGTGTGAGATATCTAATGCTGCAGTATTCTCCCACTCCAAGATTGTTGAGGTCATTTAGAATCCCTTGAGGTTCCATATGCATTTTAGGTTGGAGTCACTGCTGGGATTTTGATAGGAAGTTCATTGACGCCATAGACTGTTTTGGTTTTGGGTAATATGACCATCCTAACAGTATTATCTTTCAATTCGTAACATGGAGTTTCTTTCCATTTGTTATGTCGTCCTTAATTTTTCAGTGATGTTTTGTAGTTTTCAGTATGTGAGACTTTTGTCATTGGATAAATTTATTCCTAAGTATTTTATTCTTATGGACCTCATTGTAAATGGAATTTTAAAATTTACTTTTCAGATAATGTAGAACAGGAGCTGAATTTTGTGTCGATTTTATGTCCTGTGGTGGTGTTGAATTTGTTAATTAGCTCTAACTACCTTCTTGTGGAATCTCTAGGATTCTGTATGTATACAGTTGTGTCATTTCCTCACTGATGAATTTTAATTTGTCCATTCCAAGACAAATGTTTGTTGTGTCTTTCTTAACTGATTGTTCTGGCTAGAGCTTCCAGTACTGTATTGAACAGAAATCGTGAAAGTGGACTTGTTTCTGATCATAGGGAAAGAGTTTTCGGTCTTTCAGTTACCACTGAGTATGGGAGTTCTGGGCTAAATGATGGTGAAGTTTCTTCCTCCTTTCTTATTGAGTATTTTTAATTATGAAAGGGTACTGAATTTTGTCATTTTTTTTTCCTGTATCAATTGAGATGCTTATTTTTTTCTTTAGTATGACATACACATATTAATTGCTTTTTATATTTTGAGCCCTCTCGAATGTCAGAAATAAATTCTACTTGGTCATCCATCTTGTACAATCCTTTTGCTGTACTGTCAAATTTGACTTGTTGGTCTTTTCTGTTGAGGACTTTTGTGTCAGTATTCATAAAAGATACTGCTCTATAGTTTTCTCCTACAATATCTGGCTTTCATGTCAAGAGTAAAGTTAGCCTCATAGAAATTAGGAAATGTTCCTTTCTCTTCAGCTTTCTTGTAATAGTTTGAGGGAGAATGGTGTTCTTTAAATGTTTGATGACGTTCACTAGTGAGGCCATACTGTTGATTACTAATAATTGATTACTAATTCAAATCCTGAGTAACTGTAGGTCTATTCGGATCTTCTCTCTTTCTTCCTGTCCTGTCCTGTCCTGTCCTGTTCTTTTTTTTTTTTTTTTTTTTTTTAATCAGGCATTGCACAGCAGGCACCGGAACCACTGAGCTAAATCCCTGGCCCTTGGATCTTCTCTTTCTTAATAATGCTTCTCAGTCTTGGTAGGTTGTATATCCGTTTAATCTATGTAATCTAATTTGTTAACATAGTGTCATTTATAGTACTTTTAAAAAATTCTTTTACTTCTGTAAGATTGGTAGTATTGTTCTGTCTCATTTCCTAGTAGTAGTTTGAGTTTCTTTTCTTAGTGTAGCTGAAAGTTTAATTTTGTTAATATTTTAAAAGAAATTACTTTCACTTTTACTGTTTTTTTCTTCGTTAGTCTATTTTCTCCTGTGATTTTCTAAAAAATTTTCTTCTTTTTGCTAGCTTTAGGGTTAGTGTTTTTTTTTTTTGTATATCTAAAGTTAATCTGAGCACTTTTTTCTTTTAATATAAGCATTTACAGTTGTAAATTTCCCTCTCAGCGTAGCACTTTTGCTATATCCCATATTTTGTCAGGACATTTGTTTGGTATTTTGTGTATATGCTGCCGAAGCGAGGACAGTGTTTGGTACGTTTTGTTTCCATTTACCTTACATGTTGAATATTACTTACCCAAATTGCTTGGTAACAAAAGGTATTTTGGAATATTTGCATATGCATAAAGAGATATCTTAAGGATAGGGCCCAAATCTAAACGTGAAATTCATTTTTATTTTATTTTATTTTTTATTTTTATTTTTTTGTTGTTGTTACCGGGGATTGAACTCGGGTCCTTGTGCTTGCAAGGCAGGCCACCGAACCGCTGAGCTAAATCCCCAACCCCATTTTTATTTTATATATACTATATGCACATAATCAGAAAGTAATTTAATACATATTTTAAATAATTTTGTGCATGAAGCAAAGTTTAATGGTGTGGGATTTTCCACTTGTAGTGCCATTTTGGCCCTCAAAGTTTCAAATTCTGGAACATTTTGGATTTCATATTTTTTTATTAGGGTTACTCAACCTGTACTTTCAGGTTGCTCTTGTGATTTCTTCTCAGACTCATTGGTTGAGTGTATTGTTTAATTTTCACATTATTTTGATTTTGTTTTCCTGGTACTGGGGATTAAACTCAGGGCCTCACGCTAGCCAGGCAGGCGTGGCACCACTGAGCTAAATCCCTGGCCTCTCCACATTATTTTGAACTTTCCAGTTTCCCTTCTGTTGATTTCTAGTTTCATTCTGTGGATCAGGAAAGATAGTATGTGTGATGTCAGTCATTTAAATGTACTCATACTTGTTTTTGTGGTTTAATATACAGTTTGTGTTGCATGATTCTCTGTACTTGAGGAAAATGTGTATTTTGCTGTTGGATGGAGATATATGTCTATTAGTTGGTTTGCTTGATTGTGTTAAGTTCTCTGTGTCCTTATAGCTGTTTGGTGGTTGTTATTGACAGTGAAGTGCTGAAGTCTGTTATAAAACTGTTTCTTCAGTTCTATCAGTGTTTGCTTCATGTATTTTGGAGCTTTGACTTTTTTGGTGCATATATTGAAAAATGTTCCATCTTTTTGGTGAATTAACCCTTTTATCCATCAGTAATGCCTTCATATTTCACAGCAGCTGTTCATTTAACATTTGTCTGCTTTTAGTCCTACTATCTCTTTTTCCATCCTTCCACGTTTTTTCATGAAGTCCAGTTTGTATATTTTTTGCATTTTGTTACTTGTGCTTCTTTGTTATGTTGAGCTCAGATTTTTTTTTGATTGAAGTAAGTGCTAAATACTAGTTATTACCTAGTTACTGAAAAACTGAAAATTGTCCTGAATAGCTGTTTAGGAACTTTCTTGCAGGGCTGGCTATTAATGAGCTTTGTGTCTTTGAGTAAGTTTATCTTTTTTTTTTTTTTAACGTGAGAGATGTGTCAGTTTATGGATGAGATTCCATTGCAATCTGGTAATCTTTGATCTTACGATTCTCTTAATTGCAAGTAGTAACTGACATAACTCTGCCAATCTGCATTTTTTTTCCTGGCTGTACTGAAATCTCACTGTATATGCTCTTACTGCAGAAAATCAGTTGTCCCATTTTAGATGTCACTAAAATTTAGATATGATTAAATTGTGTATTCCTTTGAAGTTCTACAGTGATTGAAGACTTGGTGTCCCTGTTGGGAGGTGGTGGAACCTTGGGGAGGTGATTCCTGGTTGATGGCCCTCAAGTCCGTGGAGTTGTGTCCCCAGAAGGAACTGGAGATCCCGGGCTCTCTCTGGCTTCTCGTTCTTCATTGTAAGCTTTTCCACACATATGAACCTCCTCTACAGGGCGTCTGCTTGCTGTGACACAGGCTTCAGCATTGTCACCTGTCATGGACTCCATCCAGGGCCAGAGTCTCTGCCATGCTCTGGACTTTTTATTAATCTGTGAGCTAAAATAATAGCTCTTTAGTTTTATGTAGTCTCCTTAAGTATTTTGTTGTAGTGATGCAAAGCTGACTACTACAGATGTATGTGACTGTTCTAGTTAGCTTTTCCTTGGCTGTGATGAAAGTAACCCAACATGTACAACTTAAAGGAGAAAAGGCTTATTTTGGTTTGTGGTTGCAGAAGTTTTAGTTCATGGTCATCTGGCTCCAAGGCAGAAGCACCATAGCAGAAGGGCGTGGTGGAGCATAGCTGCTGAGTCCATGGCAGCCCTCACAAGAGAAAGCAGGAGGAGCCAGAACAAGACATAGCCCCTTGGAAGGTAGGTCCTCCATGACCCAGCTCCTCTAACCTTGGCCCCACCTCTTCGTAGCCCACTCAGCTATGAACTTATGGATGGGCTGGGCTGATCCACTGACAAGGTTAGAGCACTCAAGATCCGTTTGCCTTCTGAGAGGCCCTTCTCTCAACCTGTGGGACTTGTGGGAGATGTTTTCCATCTAAACCCTAACATTCATCCTGGCGTATATAACCAGGTTTCTTTTGTGAAAGGGCAGCCCATTTGTCCTCCTGCCAGTTCTGTATAGCAGTGTTTGCTTGTCCCATGGTGCCCATCATTGAACATGTCCATAAAACCGAGGCGCAGGTGTCTATCATCCTAGCACTCCGGGAAGCTGAGTCAAGAGGGTTGGTTACAAGTTCATACCCGGCCTGGGCAGTTTAGCTAAGACTGTCTTTAAAAAAAAAAAGGTTAGAGATGTACCTCAGTGAGTTCAATTCCCCATACTGCAAAAACAAAACATTTGAAATAAAATGTTGTAGAGTTGGTAGATGAGAATGCTTGTTTTAATTTCATTTCTTTCATTAGGTTGGCTGAAGACTTTAAAAATATTTTTAGCTGGGTGTGGTGGCGCACGCCTATAATCCCAGCACTGGGGAGGCTGAGGCAGGAGGATCGCTGTGAGTTCGAGACCAGCCTGGGCTACATAGTGAGTTCCAGGTCAGTCTCAACTACATAGTGAGACCCTGTCTCCAAAAAAAATAACAAAAAAAATTTTTTTAGCCTTTTCTGTGCTGGCTAGGAAATGAATTTTCATAGTTTTACTGTTTTATTTCATTGTGTATGACTTTTTAGTAGTTGATAATTGGTAAGATTTTTGGCAGATCTTTTGTCTCAACTTTTTTTTTTTTCTTCTAAGTTTTGTTTCCTTTTAAGTAAGAACCTTTAAATTGCTGTAGGGTCAGTGAGACACTTTTCCATTTTAATATTCTTAATATTGATGGTTAAAGTCCTTTCCGTTCAGAGACCAGATGCATATTTATACATTATTTTTTTTGTTTGTTTCCCATTTAACGCTGATCATCTGGTTTGTGCTGTAAGGAGAGAAGCAGAATTGACTGTTTCATACTCTCAGCTGGTTTTGCCAGCATCATTCAATGGCAGACCTTTTCTTTCCCATTGACTTGTATTTCCAGGATCACATTTTAATTTTATGTGCTAGGACCCATTTCCATGCCTTTACATTTGTATGGCTATTTCGGCTTTTTTTTTTCTTAACTAAGGCTTAATGTGATAAAGTAAAATTCACCTTTTTTGTTGGGCACGGTGGCACATGCCTGTAACCCTAGCTACTGGGGAAGGTGAGGCAGGAGGGTAGCAAGGGTAGCAAGTTAGCCCTGTTTCAAAATAAAATTTTAAAAAGGTCTAGGGATACAGCTCAGAAGAGTGCTTCCCTAGCATGTGCGGGTTCTGGGTTCAATCCTAGTTCTGCCCTCCATCCCCCTTTCCAAGCGTTCAGTCCTGAGTTTTGATGTTCCTGTAGCTGTGTAATTGGCACATCCTTCTATTCTAAGTTTCCTGTTCCTTTCCTTCTTTGTATTCAACCCACCATCCCAGGCAACCACTGGTCTGATTTCTTTGTAGTTTTGGCTTCTTCCCAAATGTCCTATTAAGTGGAGTTACACAATATATATTCTTTTTTTTTGTGGGGGGGTGATGCGTTTGAGATTTATCCACAGTGTGTGTTAGCACCTCATTGTTTTTACATAGTGGAATGGTGCCCACGTAAACAAAGTAGTAAACTCCCTTTAGATTGTCCATTTCCTAGTTGATTTGGATTATTTATTGGTTTTTGAATAAAACTGATACATACAGGTTTTATTTGTTTATATTGGTGATGCATAATACATTCATTTTGGGGAATTTGTACACGTATATATCCTGTCTTGCTCATTTTCCATCGTGCATACATGTTTGGTGTGAGCCCAGGTTTTCATTCACAGAGGTAAACACCTATAGGTATGAGACTGCGGAATGTATGATAAGTGAGTTTTTAACTTTATAGGAAATTGCCAAGTTGCTTTTCAGAGTGGTGTTCCTACCATTTTGATTTCAGTCAGTACAAATACTGGTTGCTCCACATTCTTGTCAGCCCCTCGGTATATTTTTGAAGCCATTCTGATAGCTATATAGGTGTATCTTATTATGATTTTAATTTGCATTTCCCTGATGTCTAAGGATGTTGAACATCTTTTCGTGTACTACTTATTTACCATCCATTTGTCTTTGGTGAAGTATCTGCTCAAGGTTGTTGCCCATTTTTTATTTGGACAGTTTTTTTATTACTGAATTTTTTTTTTTCCCCCTGGTATCAGGGATCGAACTCAGACCCTTGCACTTGTGAGGCAGGTGGCGGAACCACTGAGCCAAATCTCTGGCCCTTTATTACTGAATATTGAGAGTTCTTTATACATTCTATGTACCAGTCCTTAGTCAAATACATTGATTTGCAAATATTTTCTCCCAATTTGTTTTTAAAATTTTTTTTTCTTAACTTTTTTTTTTGTACCGGGAATTGAACTCGGGTCCTTGCGCTTGCAAGGCAGGCCACCAAACCACTGAGCTAAATCCCTGGCCCTTCTTAACTTTTTTTCGAAGAGCAGATATTCTGTTGTAATTTATAAAATATACATTGTGTTTTTCTTTTCTTTTCTTTTCTTTTTTTTTTTTTTGGTATTGGGGATCGAACTGCATGCAGCCCTTCTGCTTGCTTGCAAGGCAGGTGGTTGAACCACTGAGTCAAATTCCCAGCTTACGTTGTGTTTCTGATGAGTCTTAGGAGTTCTTTACCTAAGTCAAGTTCACAAGGATTTTTCTCCTGAAGTTTTATAGCTGTAGATTCTTTTCCTTTTTCTTTGGGACAGGTTCTTACTGTTCCCAGGCATGAGTCAAGCAGCCCTCCTGCCTCAGCCTCCTGGGTAGCTGGGACTATGTGGTATATGCCACGGAACCTGACTTGATAATGTTAGGGCTTATTTTCAGATCTGAGATCCATTTCCAGGTTGGTTCTTACAAGTGGTGCAAGATGTATATGTTTTTTTTTTTTTTTTTTTTTTTTTTTTTGGTGGTACCGGGGATCGAACTCAGGTCCTTGCACTTGTGAGGCAGGCCACCGAACAGCTGAGCTAAATGCCCGGCCCAAGATGTATATGTTTGTTACGGGCCAACCATCCCCTTTATTTGTGAGAGATGAGAGAAGTGACTGACTATTCATGGCAGAAAATGACACTAAAAGCCTCCTTTGTGGTGGTTGGAGGGGCAGCTGAAGCCGTGCTTCTCTCTGTGTGCAGGGCTCCTTTCCTAGAGGCGGACAGTGCAGCCTGCACGTTCTGCAGTCGCTGCTCTCCGATTGATTTCAGAACACTTCCTAAAGAGAGTGCAGCAGTGTGCGTGGCTCCTTAGGGCTTGACATGCGGCTTGTTTCCAGCCGAAATATGTGCTTAATATTCCTGTAGCAAAAAGCATTCCCTGAAACTTTATCAACTTGGCTTTGAAAGAGAATCTTTTATTTTTTCCCTTCAGAATCAATAGATGATAAATATGTTCCTCCTGGCTGGGAGGAGGCATTTTTTTTTTTAAACCCAGAAAGGGTAAATGTAGATATCACTAAGATATGGAAAAGCTTTTAATTTAAAAATAGTACTTAATTTTACAATATAAATATTTAAATTGCCATGCCTCACATGAATTTGTCTTCAAAGTTAAATACTTGATTGGAATCTGGTTGGCAGTTTAAGGCATCGCCTCACAGCCTACTGTTTTTTTTTCTTATGAAGTTTTAATTAGGACTTGGGCTAGCAGAGGTCAACAGAGTCTCAGACCTCCATACCTTGTTTGGCAGGTTGTTCGGAAAGTGCTGGCAAGGTACCGATTCATTTTTCCTTAGTACAGCTTTGTTGGATTGGCAAGCTCTGAGACCAGCTCTGTCCTGTAGTTTCCTCAGGAAACTTGTGCATTTAGGAGTCTGGGGTCCCTGGGTGGGGGGTGTGGTTATGCAGACACTAAGTCCCTTCCCTAGGACAAGAGGGTGGGTTCTCAAACCTCACGGTGCTGAAGAGTCTGTGTCAGAACTGACTGGTCAGCTTGGGAAAAGACTGAATTTATATAAGGAAGGACAATTTTTCTCTTCCCTTTTTTGTACTGTTTGGGATGGAAAACCCAGGGCTGAACAGCACCTTGTACATGCTAGGCAGGTGCTCTGCTACTGAGCCACACACCTCAGCCTTTAAAAATTCTTTTTGAAACAGTCTCACTATTCAGGCTGGCCTTGATCTTCTGATTCTCCTGCCTCAGCCTCCTGAGTAACTGGAATTATAGGTGTGCACTATTGTGCCCATCTCCCACATTTTTAAATTGTCATTTTAAATTTGTCTGTCTTTTCTAACTTATTAAAAGTGTGGTAAAATACGCAAAACATAACATTTGCCATCTTAGACATTTTTAAGAATATAGTAATGTCAAGTATACTCTGTTTTTTATTGGTGTGTGTCCCATCTCTTACTCTTTATCTTGTGCACCTGAAACTCATCACTCATTTTTGCTGTTGTTAGTGATCTTGATCACTCTAGATATCTCATAAGTAGGATCATACAGACTTTGTCTCTTTGTGTTGGCTTTTCTCACTTGGCATAAAGTCCTCGAGGTTCATCCCTGTTGTAGCATGTGCCAGACAGAATGTGCTTCCTTTTTAAGGCTGTGTGCATTTAACATTTTGTTTATCCATTCGTCCATGGGTGGATAATTGAACGGCTTTTGGGTACTGTGAATAATGCTGCTTTGAATAAGGCAGAGGCTCTTTTCAATTTAAACTATTTCCTCATTTTCTTAATGTTAGCATTCCCACTGCTGTTGATACCAGGCACTAGTAATACTTGAAACTTTGGCATTCGCAATTTGCTTGGAATTCCATAATGCACCACGCGTTGTGCTGTGCTGGGTTTTCCCTTGGACATGTGTGAGACCCGTCCTGTAGCTGTTTGGTC